ACACCTTCTATCTGAAAGTAGACATTCGAGGCAAAAACTCTCCTCTGTGATGCTCTTCACTGATCCCCATCGCTCAGTCCCTACAGGTTCCAGGCACGGAGCTTCCATTAATGTCAGGGGAAGCTCCTGAAATGGAAAAAGCAAAAAGCAACCGAAAATAGCCAGGCAGTTACACAGCCCTAGCACAACTCACTGCAAAAAAATATTTACCAGTCAGATTTTAATAGCCTGACATCCTCCTTGATAGAAAGACTGTGTGCTACCTTCTGGCCCCCATACACAACAATTCATCAAATACTGGCTGGCATAGCAGAGGCCACCTTGGACCACGCACTTACAGCAGGCAGAATCGTGCTGATAACCACTGCTGCCGTATCCGCAGTGCTCTGCATCCTTGCTGGTTGCTGCCTACAGTCTAGCACAGAACATCCCTTTCTGTTTGCTTTCCTTCCCAAAAAACATTTTTCCAAGAAAAGCCATTATTTCTGCATTTGACTGAAAACCAGAAGTTTGGAGCACTCTCAAGTTGCCATAACAATCATCACAGAACAATGAGAATATTTTGCTCGACTGTGGCTCATTTTTCATCTCTCAAGAAATTAAGAGATTTTAATAGCATCTTTCCATGTGCAAGGCCCCACGGCACATTATAAAGAACATTAAAAGTAAAGCAAAACAAACGGCTTTTCTCCTCCATGGAGGACTGCCAAACTCCAAGGTGAAGCACAGCTTTTGTAAGAGAAACGTGCAGCCACGCAAGTGAGAAGTTTAAGAGGAGGCAGAGAGGCACACCATGCCAGCTGCCAGCAGGTTACCTTCTCCAGATTTTGATCATGGAAAAGGCTAATAAATCAGTGCTGCAGAAGTCTTCAACAACATCTAATGGCAGTACATCATTCAGTTCCTGGAAACGTACAGTGACTTCCTGCACCACAGACTGGCATCTCGCTTGGATTGCTACCTACAGATGTAAAGATGAGCCAAACAGCTCACAATGGCCTGGATACCAGAGTGTTTCGGAATATTTATAGAATTTTTTCTTAGAAATAAACAAACGACCATAGCATATCTCATGCCACTGCAATACCTTGCCATAGAGGACAACACAGACAATATCCGCATCAGATCCTTGAACACTTACCATCAAAACAACAGATAAAAACTCAAAAGAGCACCTGGATTGAAAAAGGATGACTTTTTTCGTTTCGGTTATGCTTAATTTTGAGCTTGGGATCCAAATTTAGAAGTACACAAGGGGAATGAATGTGGTATTCCGAGAATCAAGATGAGAATTCCACACGTAAAGCACCACTTTAAAAACAAACAACTCAGAAAGAAAGAAAAAAAAGCACAAGGAAAGAAGCAAAAGATGGTTTACAGGGCATGAAGACTGGAAAAGATAAAGGGTAGGAAGTAGGGAGAGAACAGGGGTCCACTGTAGTCACTTGGTGGCGTAAAAGAGGAAAGCTATTTACACTCAAAGCAAAAGGACAAGCACTAAAAGCATTCAAGAACAGGCTAACACACCTGCACTGACATAGTGAGCAGTGCATTTCTAGCAGGCTGCAGAGAAGCAGCAGTCAGTATCTAAGTGAAGAACAAGTGGTTGCATACAAGCCAGAGACAAGTGCCTACAGTAATCCTGAGTGGCAGAAATCAGGGGGATGCTGCCCAAACACCAGCTCAGTCTGCCCCTCACACAGTCATCAGAGACACCTGAATACTGTCTCCATAGTTTACACCTCAGTGTACCCCAAGTGCTCTCACTCTGCATATCCCCAGTGCAAACCATCACTGAACACACTCCCTGTACAGCTATCAGCACAAACAATACTGGACAAGCTCTACACTTGTGACTGATGACATTGTTGTGTGTCCCTGCTGAGACAACAGCTGCACACTGAGATTATGCTCTTCCTCTTTGGGAAGATCACAGTTTATACCTGAAAAGAGAAGCACTCTATAAATGCCCCTTCTGGTTGGCAGATGGATCGGATATGCGGCATCCACCATCCACTACATCACAGCAAGATGCTTTACCTTCTCCAAATTTCTTCCATGTTGAACACTGAGCCATTTGAAAGATTAAATATTTCTTGTAATAACATACACAGTGCTCACTGCCTAGGGCCACAGCATTCTTTACTAACATATTTATGAACAAGGACAAGTGATCTCCCATCCTAGGAAAACAAACCAGATTTCTACAGGGAAAAAAAAAATTGTGCTAGCACAGATAGTAACTCTTGCTTCCTTCTCCTCTTGATCTCTCAGCTGCTCTCACATCCTGAACATCAGCCTGGCTACAATCCTCAGCACGTCAGAAAGCGGTATATTTGTCAACTGACAATTAAATGTTGACATCAATTTAGATGATACTAACAGAAAAGGCCAGATTCTTAGTTAAATTACCACTTTACTGCAGACTTTACCAGAGTTGATCATCCTTGACTCATCAGTGGGAACTGGTAAAGTAGGAGGTGAGAGCTTGTAACAGTGCATCACCTGTTGGGAAGAGCCCTACAGGGCCGTGAAGTGTGCAGCTTGGATCCTTTGCAAGGCAACAGACTCAGCATCCCTCAGAACCCCAGGCTTAACTTCCCCCGAGCCCACAGCTGGGAGGGCCTCCTAAAATACTGCAAGGTGCACTTTGACCCACAGTGACTCACTATGCTGATAATACTTGGACAATTTTCTCCTTGATTCCACAGCTGTGATCATGCCTCCCAGTGCTTTCCAGGGTTAGAAGCATAGGTAGAAATTAACTGGTTTAAGCCTAATCCTGAAAAGACGAAGGCAGTGATGCAGAGGGAAATACCCTGAGGCCCTGGTGAGCACTATAATTATGCCTTCTGAAAGAATAACTCCCATTCTTATGCAACTGCTTTGTAGTTTCAAGGATTTACTGGATCTACTGCTGATCCTAGATTCTCAAAGAAACCTTCCATCTCCCACGAGCCTATGATCTTACTCCCCATGTGTCTTGTTACAGCCTTCTCTCCCTACTTCATCTTTTACGCTGTGATGATATAACACCATTGCTAGGACCACCCCCAAAAATGACTTGAAAATGAGAGCACAGCAGGATATTTTATGCAAAAGGCCCCTCAATGTGATGTTCCTCATTCACAGTCCTAGCTTTACCATTCCACATTTTCTGAGCACAAGCCATTGCACCCGAGTTGAGGCTGGTTAAGTGTTTATTAGGCTCAACTGAAAGCATGGGACAGACTGATTTTACAGGCACCCATTACCAGAGCCCAAGCACTAAGAGCTACAAAGCACATACAAAACACATTCTAACATAAACAAGCGTGATATTCTCACAAATCACAGCGAAGGTCACAAGAGCTGACCTCTCTGGCAAGGCTATGCTCAATCTGACCTGGAACAATTTTAACTGGGCATTTCCTACTTTTTTAAATAACATGAAAACATTGTTGTTTCATATAAGAGATTTGCGAAGATTTCTAATGATATACAGAACAAAAACCTCTGAAATCCATCAGGTGCTTAAGGAGAAGTTATCCATATCTGTCTTTCAAACATGCCATGGGGCCTACAACAGTTGAGGTATTGGCATTTCTGTACTAGGGGTGTTCCTAAGAAAACAGAAGCTATAGTCAAAAAAACGTGTGTGGGAACACTGCAGCCACCATGCTACAGTTGTGTCCTGTATAATCTCCCACAACTTGCTGTATTCCAGCTGCTGAGTGTGACTAAACTAACACACAAAGTCTTATTCGTAGGAGGCTGCTCACAAGGGAACGAAGATAAATATGAAGATGCAGTAACGGATCTAAGCAAACAGCACAGGCACACTCAAACACCCAGTTCAAACAGTAACAGCACATTCTGACCTGTTTCAAGGGAAGACCTAATTCCTTTAGTGGATTAACTCCTCCACCCTCCAGGTCCTTTCACCTGTCACCCCCAAGCTGATTCTGACCAAATACTTACCAAATGTGCAAATTTGCAGACTTCAGCTGATACTAATAATGCTCCCTAGTTAGCAAGAACATTATCAATGTCTTTTCATGACCTGCATTCTATCCATCTCTAAGACTAAAAAAAAAAAAACTGTCACAATCTTATCTCTGCAGAGTAATTCTAGAAGCTGAAGAACTACCAAGCAGTCCTTCTGTCATGTAAAAAGGCTATCAATACTTATTTCCCTGGTAAGCTCCACTAGACAGAGGCAATGTATTATATCATTATAAAGAAGCTTGCAGACCCATAATAGTCAAAGAGAGCAAAGCCTGATATCGCTTGAAATGAAGAGCGTTACAGATTGCACCATCCTTAATCCATTTTAGGCAGCAGAATAAAGGCCTGAAGACACCAGCCTTCAAAACAGCAACTGTTTGGTTGCTTTGCAGAAAGAGCCTGAGTCGTGCAACCTAGCCACTGAGGCAGGCAGCAGTGTAAAATCATGGCACGCCTGGGCTACTGGCAGATGTCCATACCCAGCACAAGTCCTGAAGAATTATAATCATTAAATAACATTGTTTCACCACAAAGCAACTCTGATGGAGCATAACACATGCTCTTCCATACAGCACAATCTCCACTGGGCTCTATCAGGAATCAATCCACCTCAGACCACAGACAGTGGCAAAGCAGGTAACAGAAACGCAGGTTAAACTTGCCAGAAGAGATCACTGGTCACCGGATATATTTAACAGCAGTTTTACCTCAGAATAACAAAAACAGAAAAGTGTTTTTCCACGAAAACCAACAGCAGTAACAAAAGTCACAGCGCCTCTGAGAAGTGGTGGACTGACAGCCCCAGAGACCCAGGGCCTCTCTCAAGTGATCACTGCATACACATCCTCAGTTTGAACGAGACAATTCCTGAGAAATCAAATGCATTCAGCCCCTCGTTCTTCCTTGCCACAGCGAATAAAGAGCTCAGCACAGGCCTTAGATGTGAAGGACTGTTTTACAGAGAGCCAAGCACAACAATTCCAGTGATTCCAAAAACAGTTAGCAAGTGATACCTGAAGGAATGAAGAATGTATAGCCTTGTTTCAGTTCAATTCTTTGGCATCGTTCCACCCTGTCTCCCAGAAAGATATCACTTTGCTTTCCTGAGAGAACCCATTCTTCATAAAGTTCTAGATTCTGCAGAGTAGGCGGAATCAGCCAGAAGATCTAAAAATAAAGCAAAGATGTAACTATTATCCACAGTCAACAAAAATACACAGCTGAGAAATTCCAGGAAGTTTATCCTACATTAGAGAAATGAATGCAGAGCACCAAGCTTGCTTTCTGCATAAAACACGTTTTCCAGTACTGTACATTGAGGTCCAGAGCAGACAGCAGCAGCAATTATGTGCTGGAAGTGGCAAGATAACTGTCAGTTGTCATCTCTCTTCCATGAAACATTTCATTCAGAAGATGCCTGCACAATTCACTTTCAGTTCAAAACAGTATGTTGGTATAGCACAACTTCATTGTTCACAGAGATTAACGGTGTCTGTACAACAGGGATGATCAATCTGTTCCACTTATATCAGTGCTCACCTTACGCTGTCTACACTGCAATTAGGAAAAGCAACCTAAACCAGAAAAGATACACAGCATGTGTGGCTATGCTCACGTTTTAACATTTATCTATTCTGCAACACTTCAGCTCGGCTGTAATGTGCACAGGAGGAACACGAAATCTCTAAAAGGATACAGTGAAACTCCAGCTACAGAAGGTGACTTAGGAGGGCACTCTGACCCAACAAGGGTACACACAGCCATGCACTCTCTGCGTGACACTTCTAACCACACAACAATAACATGCACAAAGCCACCACCACCAACACACGCATTACAGATTTCAAACAAATCACTTGCTTGTTTCATAAAGGTGAATAGTGTCCTTCCAGTCCTGCAAACTGCATCTACATCAAAGGTAACTGAAACAGACTGACAAACGACTAGCAAAGAAGAAAAAACAACCAAAAAAAAAAAAAACCAAGAAAAGTGAAAGAAAAACAAAAGCAAGCAACCCCTTCCCGCCATAAGAGGCAGAGAGGAATAAAAACAAACATCAAGCAAGGTTCACTTACCTTCCCCCCACGGAAAACGTGATACCACACTGAAGTGCCTCCAAAATCAATATGGAAATCAGTGAAGCATCCTTTCACACTCATCAAACAGTACCTGAAAGCAGAGCGAAGGACAAAACAGAATCAGTCTGAAACAGTATTTTTCATATCTTAATTTAGAGTATTGCATGCGCAATACCGTTTCCACCCAATCATATTTTTGCATTTACAGCACAAAGGTTTTTGTCTCATGAAGTAATGATAATTAGATTGTAACTGAAAAACGTGCATCTCCAAGTTGGAGTTTGCTGCCTGGACAACCAGGAGCTCCCAGAGTCAGGGAATGGAGGAAGGCTGGGAGTCACGCTGTCAGAAGCAGCGCAGCACCGCCCGTCGCTGGATGCTCTGCTCCACGCTCTCCTCCATGCTCAGACATAACCTTCACCACGAGTCGTACGCAAATAGCCTCCAAGTTTTGAAAAATCGCATTTGCCCATAAAAGCTCTCATCACCTGCGTGCCACCGCTGCCATTCCAGCAAGGAGCGGTGTGCAGAGACCTCGCTCGGCGAGCTAGCTCCTTTTTGTTCCCATCGCTCGGCATCCCAGCAGCAGCAGGCAGCCAGGCCGCGGCCGGCAGCATGGCCAGGCACCCAACCCGTCAGCTCAGCCGCTCGGTGCGGCTCTCCCGGCGGCGCCCCCCGCCCGCAGCCCCGCGGCCCGGCGCTGAGCGATGGCCGAGCTGCAGCGCCCTGCGGCCGCAGGAAACGCACACCGCTTAACCCACTAACCTCTTTTCCTTGTTCCGGTCTCCGTTTCATGGCCTGACTGGGTTTATTTTTTTGGTTTGGAGGTTTTTTAGGGTTGGGGTTTTTTTGTTGTTGTTGTTGTTTTGGCTTTTTTTTTTTTTTTTTTTTT